TTATAAGATATAATTACCTTATTATATATTTTATATATTATTATAGAATATTAAATAAATATATTATAATTTATAACTATATTATAAATTAATTATTATATTTTTATAACTATATTATATTATAATATTTTTATTGTATATTACATTATATTACATATTATAAGATATAACTACTGGTAAAGTCTCTAATCCGGTATCAAATTGGAGCGACACGTGTATATTTTTTAAAAAATATATATTTCCTTTTAAAACATGTATATTTCATCTAAAAAATTGTTTAGACAAATTATAAGTGTCTCCCCACATTATACATGTTTTAAGAGAAAATATACTTATTTTTAAAAGAAATATATATATGCCGCTCTAATCTGATACCAAATTGGTGACAATTCCTATAACTATTATATAATCTTTTTTAATTATATTATAATATTGAAGGATAATTATGAAAAAAAAATAAAGAAAATAATTTAAAATGACTATTCCCCTTATGTGAGAAATAAATGATAATTCACCCAAAAAAATAAATAATCATTTTTTTTAAATAATTTTTTTTTTTTTTTTTTATAAATCTAACCGAATATCAATTTTGAATTTTATTCCATTCAAATATAATTAACCCTAACTCAATAGGTTAATTAGTTGTCGTTTTATGGTGCCACCCAAAGACCCTACACATGACACCACCCACAATATCTCCCAAATATCTTCCTCACAGATTACAAACAGCTGAAACAGCAAAAGATCGAAACACAAGTACACAACGAAAGACGGACTAAAATGGCATCTCTTCTCTTCTCGGCTGCTCCAAATCTCAGAGCTTCACTTCCTCTATCATCATCTTCAACCGCTGCTTCTTTGCGCTTTGCTAATTCCTCCTACCTTCCTTCTAGAAGACTCGCTCTTTTTCACCTCGGCTCTGGTAACCAATCCTATACTCATTTTCTGCTATACCAATGTCTTTCTTATTTTCCTGTGTTTTATGCTTCTGGTTCTTTTTTTTTTTTTTGGTCATGAATCATGACAATAGAGTTTTAATGTGAAATGAGCAAACATATTATGAAGGTAAAAGTGGGGTCATGAGTAATGTGTGTGTTTCAATGTCTTGTGTTAGTTTTCTACTTTTCGTACAAATGTTGTACAGTTGGCTCTGGGCTCTGGCTAATTTTTTTCTTAGTATTTTCCGAGAAAATAGGGGCTTAAGGAAAAAGGGAAATTACGAGGAAGCTTGGCTTTGTCTTTTTGCTGTTGAAAATAGTAGTACACGCCATGTTAGTCAACCTAAATGACTTGTAATGTTAAACTAGAGAGAATGGAAATGGAAAATTTAATTAACAGAGAATTATCAATTTAAAGGAAAATGTCCTTTCCAAAATATATACATACATATATATATATATACATATATATATATATATATATATATATATTAGAAGGAAAATGAAAGAATAAGAATGAGGATCGTTGATTTACTTTCTAACATTTACTTATCTCTTACTCTTAGGACGTGAAAATGGAAACAATCTAATTCCATTTTCTGGTGCTTACTAAACATAGGAATGGGAGGCTCATCAATTTATCTACTAAGGCTTTAGAAGGGTATCTAAGTAAATCTGACCTTATTCCTATTAGTGGAAAAAATACCAAGGATGATAGGATTGATATTCTTATTTCTTATTTCCTAAATCGTGCGGGCCGTCAAACTACTATTCTTGATTTTGTAAGTATACACATGACTGAGTCTCGAAAGCTAAAAAGGAATACTTACAAACTCCTCCTTTTCCCTTTTCATTCATGTGAAGTATATGTGAGCATGCCCCTATTTTATAACACTTTTTTTTTTGGTTGATTTCTCAGCTCTCCCACAGTCACAGTTACTAGGTGTAAAAGCATCAAATATTTTGAGGACAGAAGGGAACACTATAGAGGCTGCCTCAGATAGGATAATGGCACAAGCAGCCACAACTACTACAACCAAGGAAAATGTGTTGGAGTGGGTCAAGAATGACAAACGACGAATGCTCCATGTCGTCTACCGGGTGGGGGACTTGGATAAGACTATAAAGTAAGTCTATTTTGCAGTTGCTTCAAATATCAATGATGAAGTTTCCCACAGGTAGCTAATTATTGTTTTCTTGAGATGCAGATTCTATACTGAATGCTTGGGAATGAAGTTATTAAGAAAGCGCGACATACCTGAGGACAGATACACCAATGCTTTTCTAGGATTTGGGCCAGAAGATTCTCATTTTGTTGTTGAACTCACGTATAGTAAGTCAAATTCACCTGATTACAATTTATATGAATTTTCACCCATTTGTAACCATCTCCCAAGCTGTATAATCACTTCTTGCTTGAATTTTTTGTTCTGTGTTTTCTCAATGCTAGATTATGGAGTGGACAAATATGACATTGGTACCGGTTTTGGCCATTTTGGCATTGCAGTTGAGGATGTAAGTTCCTATAGAAAACAAATAAGCTTTTCGCATTATCTTTTGCAAATAAATTACAATTTATTTGACACTGCTTTACAGTATCTATAACTGGAATCCATGCTTACTTGAAAGAAGATGCTTATGGTTTCTTACATTTTCTGGAATTTTTATTTTATCGGAGCCTTTTGCAGGGGAGGGGGGATGTTGTGTTTCTGCATTAACAGCAAATTTGAGTGGTTCATGTATCTCAAGTTAGCTCTAGTTCACTGTTCTTATTATGCATTTTGTCAAAACATTGCGTCTGTTTAGTTCTTTTCCAAATTCATTAGTTGTCAGAGAATGATGCCAAATGGAGCTGTAAGATTTTGACGTACAGGAAATGGAGCTGTAAGATCTTGACGTACAGGAAATGGAGCATTTTATGTTATTATAGAAAATGAAAAATCATAAGCTATTATATTGGGGTTGCATTTTCAACCAAATCCCTTAACGGTAATTCCAATGTGAATATTTAATCAACACCTTCTCTAACAAAACATTCATACAAGAAAATTGTGACAAAAGATGTCACCTTAACCAACCTTAAACCTCTAATGAATCATGTGAGTTTTCGTCATTTCAATTGTCAAAGGTTGTTCGGTAAGATAGTTTTTTCCGAACTTCTTATGGTTTTCCATTACAACTTTTCTTGCAGGTTGCTAGAACAGTTGAACTCATAAAGGCAAAGGGAGGGACCGTTACGAGGGAGCCTGGTCCCGTCAAAGGTGGCAGTACAGTAATTGCTTTCATCAAAGATCCTGACGGTTATAAGTTTGAGCTTTTGGAGAGAGGGCCTACTCCTGAGCCACTATGCCAAGTTATGCTTCGTGTTGGTGATCTTGACCGTGCTATTAACTTCTATAAGAAGGTACATGATGTTCCATGCAGCATAACGACTTCTCTAAAAATTTTAAACAATTAGTTCTTGCTAGTTTGGATCATTGTGGTTAAAAGCTGCTGAAGTTCTTATCTTTGCCCGTTTGCCCCTCTCGGGTTATTAGGCTTTTGGCATGGAACTTCTCCACATAAAGGATAACCCTGACTACAAGGTAAAATACTTTCTCTGCATTGTGAATTTCAAATGAGAAAGCTAAATACGTTACATAATTATGCATGACAAACAATGCTAGTTGTGACCAAAACATTCCATAGCTATAATGGCCATACAAGTTGCTGACTGGCGCAAAACAGTTTGTTTATGTTTTTGGTAATGGAGGCCCTGCTAAAGTTTTTCCTAGAATGAGATGTTTGGAAGTAGATGTATTCAAGACCTAACTGAAAACGTCAATTTATTTCCCCTTTAAATTAGAACCCTGTCTCCGGCAAAGAAATTTGTGGCCTGCTGATAAGTTGCTAGCCGCCAATTTTACTTTTGGCATTCTGTCCTTCTAAGAAATTATTATTCTTCCGAAACCTTATGTGTTTTTCACTTTCTAGTTATATTTTACCCTCTTTTGAATCTAATATATTGCTTATATCTTCTTTCCTGTGTATTATTACTCAAATTTCTATTGGTTATGCATGTTCTCCAGTATACGGTGGCTATGCTGGGTTATGGTCCAGAAGATAAGAATGCAGTTCTAGAACTGACGTATAACTATGGTGTCACGGATTATGACAAAGGAAACGGTTATGCACAGGTAAATGCTTTTCCTTTTCCTATGATCCATTTTCCTGTTTGGGAACATGGTAGCTACTATTTATATAAACTCCCTTCCTTGTGCTTTTGTTTATCATGTAATAGAGCTTGAGTTTAAAACCTTTAACAGATTGCAATAGGGACCAATGATGTCTATAAGACAGCAGAAGCAATCAAACTTTGCGGAGGGACGATTATTCGTGAACCTGGTTCTTTGCCGGGTATCAATACGAAGATTACTGCTTGTTTGGATCTGGATGGTTGGAAAACTGTATGTCCCCTCATTCTATAATCCTCTGTTATGCTAGATTTTTTGCTTACCAGAAGTCAACTCAGTTTTTTTCTTCTAACAGTATTTTTATACTCAAATGGTTGAAGACATGTATACTAGCTCTCATACTTGTTTTACCTAGGAAGGAAAACACCTTTTATAGAGCCAATATTACAAATTGAAGGGTGATTGCTTGCAGAAAAACACATTTTTAGAGCAATTAGAAATCATTAGTCTGGTGCAAGCTTTTCATTAATATAAGCACGCCTTAGAAGTTGAAAGTTAACAAGATCTTAATTTCTAAATCCCAGGGAAATTTAATGCATCTTATTTGTGCCATCGATCTATGTGATTTGATTTTTGATATTGTCCCTTCTGCAGGTCTTTGTTGATAATATTGATTTTCTGAAGGAGCTAGAGTGACCAAAGTATCAACCTCCAGCTTCCAAATCTCTACACTGAATCCATGAGAGTCATTGCAATTTTTCTGTAGTATGTAGCTTACAGTTTCAAGAATATTTCTCCAGAGGCACACCATTAGAGAACTTACCGAAGATTCGTACATAGGTCATTCTGTACATTTATTGTAAAAGTCAATTTAGAAAAACAGAAAAAAGGCGGGTAAGAACTGTTTTGTACACCTAGGATTATGCATTGCAAGTTTCTTTTTGTGAAAGAAAGATGGTAGGAATCGTTATGCCATGGTGCAAGACTTGAACAAATGTTACATTAGCATGACAACAGACAATTCAACATATGTTGGATTCCCTCAGTCCACATTAGTTTGTCTTCTTTACTTCTACATTCAAACTCTATAATCCTGTCAGCTGTCTTTATTCCGAAGTATGCCCTTGATTCGCTGCCGTTGTCCTTCTCCCTTCCGGGCCATGCCAGGATGTCACAGCAGACTTCAGTGACCACACCTGCAACCAAAGCATGGCTTAGAACAGCTGACTGGGGTAGAGACAAAAAGAATAGATTCTTCTGGGTATGAGTACTTGCTTACATTTCTGCTTTTTTGTAAATGTTCCAGCCATGTACTTGCTTTTCATTTTGGCTACAACCTGTTTCCAATTTCGTATCCAACAGTAATTTGAAATGATTGGCCACCAGATGAATTGGGGAAAAAGAGACAAAAACCCATTACTTATTTGTAATCTTTGCTATCGAGAAAGCTCAAAACTGAAGGTTCTTCAGTTCATTCCTTTTCAAAATCTTTTAAACGTATAGGCCTTGCATAGTAACACTTTCCACCTTTTTTTTCTTTTTTTCTTTTCCCTCTTTTGAAAGTGAAAAGTGAGATTTTCTAAAGCAATTTCTTGAGAATCTCTCCAACCTTCACTTCAGTTTGAACAAAAGAGAAGTTTTACGAAACAACACCCGAATAAATGGATATTATTAAATATCAAGTTTGTCTTATAATTTCTTTTGTTAAAAATACCCCTTTTTACAATTTACCTGCCAGTTTGAGTTAATGCTGAAAGAAACTTGCTTCCAATGGAGAGCTCCTGTAATCATAGAGTATTACATTAATTGTAAATATGTAACTTACTCGTGGGGTAACTGTATCTAATTAACAGAAAAGGGAATTGCATGCCAACTAGTGTACCTTTCCTAGTGCGTTTGAGAATTTCTCCTCCCTTGGAAACAAAATTCAGAGCTGCAACGATATTTGAATCATTGCCTTCACCTTTTTCATCAGGCAGTGCAAATGCTGTAGTTCCATACCCTTTCTGCAATCTTGTCCTTAGAATGGCAGCTGCTCTTAAGGCTGTAAAACACAAATGCAACACTTGGACTTCATTTGTTAAACTAGATTTCAGATCAATTTCTTCATAATTCAACTTGGTTTTGATAGAATTTCGAATTATGTGATATTTTGTGAAGTTTCTATGCCTACTCTAAATATTATCTAAATTTAAGAAGCGCTTAGAGAAGTCGTTTATACCTGTAGCTGCAGCTGCTGTTAGGGTCATGATATCACCATTAGTCCTTGCATTAACCGCGGAGTTAACCACCGCAAAGATTTGGTCATGATCAGCTCCCATTTCCTCGGCGATCTCAATGCAATGAGACGCTACTAGACCAGCTGCGGATGCCATTGCAGCGGATGTATTTGGAGGCGGTTTCTGGTGGGCTGCTGATGTCTCGGGCAACGCAGCTGTGGCTGCAAGCGCTGCAACAGCCGCGGCAACCCCTGCCACGGATACTGCTGCGTGCAACTGGGCATTCTGGGTTCTGATTTCTTGCTTCTTCTTCTCCTTCTGATCTTTTAACCACCTACCCGTTGTTTTTCTCCTCAGTATGCTCTTATATAACTGCAGAGTAATTATCATAGTAGTAAAATTAGATGGTAAATTTGTTATACTAGTGATAAAAAAGCATTGATCTTAAAGAAGACAATATTTGAGATTACCCCATTTTTGAGGAGCTGTTGACTCGAAAGAAACTCTGGATTTAGTGCTTGATGAAGTAGCAATAACTCCTGCACGGAAAATGGGGCTGAAAACCTGGCTCTCTCTTAATTTTTTATATAACAAAACAAGCTAGCCGTTCATGAAGGACAAAACAAGGAGAGGGAAGGTTCATATATACGTCCAAACCTCATCCTGGGCCAAAACAAAGTCAACCTTTCAAGAGGATTAATTATTGACTTCTTTGAAGTCATTCCAAAGTGGGTATTCTTTTTCTTTTTTTCTTTTTTTTTTAAGGGAACAAAACAAAACAATATAAAACTGCATGCAAATGAGTAATGATGATGACATAGACCCCAATCCTTTGCTGAGGTTCCTTTGTCTATCCTCATGCAATTTCCTTCCTTTTTGGAGGATTTTGAAAAACAAAAAATAAAAATAAAAATAAAACAAAATACAACGAAATGATGATAAAGCCCTTAGAGAAACAGGGGAGATTGCTGGACTACTAATGGCATGTTAATCTGGCCACGATTTCAGTATATATATATATATAGGAGAGACAGAGAGAGAGAGAGAGAGAGAGTTATATTTAGTTACCTTCATTTCATCACTGCCTCTTGGGGATATTGGAGGGCTATTTTCACTTGGTAACTGCTGGAGTAGCTGTTACAAGTAAAAATAATTCAATTGACAATTCTAGCCAACAGAAGGTATTAAAAAATAGCAAGACAAGCAAACACATTGATAAATGCCTCATTTAAGAATATCTAACACACTCACTTTTAGTTTTTTATGGTATCTGTTAAACACAAATACTATACTGAATGGTGTGTTGATAATTAGTAAGTTCAGTGACACACAATATATTCTCTTAATAAGTCTTACAGATTCATTCAGAGTTGTAGAAGTTGCGTCACGAACTTCAGAGCCATCTGAAGACACTGTTGACTGCACAAGATTTTGAGAGCCAACGTGAGAATTTGAAAGAGCCTTGGAGAGCTCCATTGCAGAAACACTCCACGATCTCGCTAGAAACTCCATGGATTCGGTTGGCGTTTCGGGCGGCGGGCAAGAGGTTGCTTCCCAAATTGCAGGACCATTTTCGTCTATGTTCTCCAGCCTATGCAATGCGCATTTGGCAGCACAAGAACTCACTGTCACCCAAAAAAAATAAAAATAAATAAAAATAAAAAGTAAGCACTATTTTCTCATTGAAAATGAACTCTAAAATGACTGAAAAGCTTTGCTTGGTTTTGAGTTTAACTATTTCTATACACTTACCTTCCATTACTCTCCAAAGCAGACTAAAGAGTAAACTCTACTTAAAATCTAACAAACAAGATTGCCTTACTTTCCAAGCCTAAAACTCATGATCACTCGGTCTTTGGAGAGTTAAGACAGAGAAGAAGATGGTGAAATAGAAGAAGTGCACAGTGAGATATTTAAAATGAAATAAGGTAAAGTGAGTTGCATTTTTTGTTTATTGAGAAAATAGGAAGTGAAAACAAAATTCTATTCTATGTACTAAAATAAGAGGACCCCATCAAAGGTCAATCATCTTCTGCTCCCACCTTACATCCTTTCTTTTCTTTTCCACTCTTTGGTGCTTTGGACATAAAGAGCTAAAGAAACTTTTTATTTTTATTTTTATTTTTTGTTCTTTTGAGCGGCAGAATTCATCATTGCTAGGGTTCTCTTGTCACCATTATCACTAATGGGTCTAAAGTGAAAACTGAGGGTCCATTATAGTGCTCTGTGGATTAGTGCAACCAAACAAATTCTGTGCAATTATGCATGCCTAGAGGACCAAGAAGAAGAGGCTGATTGCTGCTACCTTTTTACCTTCCCTAGTAACAAACATAAGGCACGCTTTCTGAATTCTATCTTGTCCTTCATTTGTTGTTTTACTTATTTATTTTGATAAGCTAATAGAAGGAGAAGGTAAAAGAAGTGTTATGCATCAACATTTGTGATGCATTAATGTATGTGTTACAACATATCGGAATTAACACCACGTGACAAAAGTGAGACCAAATGAGTCTTACACTACTATGTGACAATTTTGATGCACTCTCACTTATGTAAACAGTGATCGTATATTTAGAATTTTTTGTATATTAGCATGATAAATAGAAGATGAAACACGGCATGCTCATTTTCTAGAAGGCAAGAAATCCAACTATTGCTTTGTTCAAACTCACCCACCTAATTACTTAAAGTAACCTGGTTGTTATTTATATGAAGTAATTACTTACTATATTAGATTATTGAGCATGCCACATCCATTCTACTCTGGCTCTTCAATTGATGGATTCATATAGATTCTTTTGAGGGGTAAGATTCCATGCTTCCCTATCAAAATGCACTTGAAATTTTCCTTTAAAAGGAAATTTCTCCTAAACCTATCATAAACAAAAACATAATTCAAGAAGCTGTTGTTTTTACCCGTTTATTTTTTTTTTTTTCAGCAACTTTTGTTTCATGCAATGCTAGCATTATATGACATCAACATTATCCCACCCACCAAACAGAGGATACCCGTGTGGCATAGCTCCTTAATCATTTCTTATTAAAGATTGATCATGTCATTAAGTGCGTGCAAATGGCGCACTTACCAATATTCCAAGGCCCCACAATCCCAATATTTTGCACTGCAAATCTTAATTTAGCAATATTCAACAACTTCTTAGCTTTACGAGGTTGATACTTGCAACTAAAGGCCCTACACCCGCAAGATTGAGCTCATGAGTAATCCTCAATAATTAAGCTCGTGCAATTATGATCCCTCTGTCATGATAAAACCTTCCACATTATTCTGTGGTTTGTCTACGGATTTGTTTATTTTGAGAGGACCCATTACTTACACACACTAGGAAGACAAAAGGGTCTGCACTCTGCACCAAAGCCAGTAACTCCATTTTCCCCTTTCATTTTCTTGAAGGCCGTAGGTAAAACAGATTCAAGCGAATCAAAAAGTTGTCTTGAACGAACATTAGCTTAATTCAAACCAATAAAATAATGTTTTCAAACCAAAAAACAAAATCCTAAGAATTTGGAGTTTACACCCCCTTATTTTTAATATTTCAAACTAAAAATTCAAATCACTACATCTCGAACCTATTTTTACCAAATGGGCACTTAAAACACTTCTCTAGACTTTTGTTCAGAGGTAGTTCAATTGTTTAAGAAACCCTATTATGCTATAATCCTATTATAATACAACTGCAACAAAAAATCACTTTCTCCAACAATGGGATTGCACCACCGGATTTCTAGAGTACCGTTAAGACTTTTTTTTTTTTTTTTTTTTTAACTTTTCCACCACCGGATTTCAAGAGTAGCAGTACAGGCATTCTCTTTTACTTTTTCACCTTTTTAATTTTTTTTAACCAAGATCAATGATAACTACGATGACTAAAATGCATAAAATAAAATGATCCGACAGTGCTGACTTGAGTTAAAGCAGGGCATATCCCTAAAGAAAGGCTAAAGGGATGGACATTAAGACAACCAAAAAGAGAAAAATGTACACAAGTTCTGTAAAAGCACGTGAGCATCAAAAGATTCTTATCTACAGTAGGAGTCAAATGAAGGACAAGCCGAAACATATTGCGTTTTTTTAGGAATTATTACTAGATTATTTTTTCTTGGCAAACTCAAAAAAGAGTTTAAAAAATAAAAACCTTTCCCAACTAACCGTACTCTACACTTATGGACTTTAGTGTTTACATTGAAACCTTTAATTAAGGCACAAATAATCAAAAAGAACAATAGAAAATGGAAAAACTAGAAAGATTCTCCATTTGACATCAACAATCCAATGAAGTTCTCCCATTCATCCTGTATAAACCTTCCCTTCTCTCATTTCAATATCTGGAGCAAACAAAAGAGAGGAATGCAAATGAGCATTTTATTAAGTTAAATGCAAGGCCTTTTCGAACCGCTAAAATCTAACAAAACTTGAGAAAAATAGCAAGATGATGAGTACCTGAAACAAAAGGTTTACTTATTCATGAGAACTCTGAAGTACCAGGGTATACCTGGGTTCAAACTGATCCAGGTGAACATCCAAGGCTTTGATCCAAAAAAGATACAGCATTAAGAACAGAAAGCAACTCAATCCTGAATTAAACGAAATACATGGTCAAAACAACTGAATAACAGCAAAGAAACATTTTATGCTCTTTAAACAACAGAGTGCTGGGGGAAGACACTTTACACATCATCCACACAATACGAAATTAGGTTTTGTCATTTTTGCCATTTATACTTGCAGAAAACCTCAATGTGCTGACAGGTCGAGTCCAAGCAATGTCCGGTAGATTCTTCTGACTTTGGGCAGGCACCACTCGATTAGGCTTCTTTCTTCGCAAGGCACCATCCACCATATGTCACCTTCTGTTGGAAGAATAAGCAACCAAACTGATAGCACAACACTTCATACTGTAGCTGGAAAAGCATTAAAATGCTCAGATGACAGCAACAACTTGCGATGTCCAAGCACATAAATATCATTTCTAAACTAGTGATAAAATGAATACCTATTGCTTTGCTGAAGATATTCTGTTTGATGGTGATAACCAGCTACTTGAAGCTACATCTTTGTTCCCATATGCACGACCCGAGTTTGAATTTGACGATGGCCCCTCTGGATAAGGAAAGTTTCTTTTGGTGACAAACGCAGTGGAAGGAACCGGCGCATTGCTCACAGCCTGTGCAACAACATAATAAGTGATGAACAACTAATAGAAAGCAACAAAAGAGAAACAACTACTTTTACCAAAGCGTACTCTATTAATCCTTAGCATTGCAAGGTAAGCGTACTCTACTAATCCTTAGCATTGCAAGGTAAACCCCATCACGTACCAACAAGCTCTTTTCCTTTACCCTTTTTCCTTTTGAGTACATAAAATAAAAGAAGAGGTGTACAAGAACATAAGTGAAATACAACGCAGACCCCAATCATCCCCATTCCCTCCTTAGCAGCAACAACAACAATAATAATAACCGTATTTCTTTTACAGTTTTTACTTCGTTTGCTAAACTAGGTGGAGAAGAGGAAATGGACAAGAAATTGAATAACCATATGAAAAATTGAATTCAGTGCACCATCTGCAAGCTGCAAGGGGTTGACACTAAATATACTTTTCATGCATATAGCCACTTGATCACATGGAAACGAAATATAGGCAAATGAACCATAAAAACAAAACAATGCTACTTACATTTTTAGCTATTGTTTCAGCACTTGAGACGTGTGTCGTTGATGATCTAAAATGCGCATGAACATCTGGATTTGCAATATTACTTGAGCTTCTTGGTTCTGCAACATGCAAACCCAACAAAGAAGGAAGCGTTATTAAGTCATCAAGTACATCATTAATCTACACAGATAACCAGGACTCTCCAATACAAGAACTTTGGCATACCAAAAACCTCTTTCACAATCCATTCAAAGCCAAATCTTAACAAGATTTTCAAACCAAGCTCCAAAGTTGTAATGGAACTAAATGAAACCAATTAATAGAATCAGAAACATATCAGATGGATCTTTGAAAGTTCAATCAGAGGAGGACCAGTACCGATCATAGTCTTTGACCCATAAAATGTGAGAAGAAACAGATCAAGATTTTACAAATTTCTCTGCCTTCTTCCAGGTGATGTTGATTTTCACCTTACTTTTCTTAAAAGTATTACTAATTGGACATAATGTCAGTTCACTAGTAATAAAGAGATTGCAAACTTAAAGCTTCTAAAACACGGCAAAACATTTCATGTCTTCTGAACAGCTTCATGCAAAGTCAGACAAAAAAAAAAACAGCTTTGGCATGGGGACCATAATCATAGAAACTGAAGGAAGGAGATATCACTTCAAACCGAGAGAGAGAGAGCGGGCCGGGGAGGAGGACAATTTCCATGTTTTCATGATGTAACTATATTCATCATTCAAAATTTGAAAGCCAGCAAAGATAACAAAATTATTGACTTTGATAGAGGAAGGTAATAAGTCGAGATTACCTTTATGCTTACTTACGGCCGTTGGCTGTGCTTGACTGCTGCTTACTCCAACAGGCTGTAAATTCTAAAACACGGATAGAAGGTCATACAAGTTGAAAATCAAAATTTCCTAGAAATGCAATAAATAATTTAATGTTATCTAAGAAATCCTGAAGCTATAACAATTAAAACTTAAGTACCAGAAAAACTTATAGGTGAAAAATCAAAAAATGGTCCTGTACACAAATTTGGGAAGTGATGTATTGCAAAATGAATAGCAGAAAGGTAATGGCAAATACTAACAGAAAACTGAGCCTGCACTCTTGCTTGTTGTGCTGCTTGTTGGTACTTCATAATTGTCCAGTCAAAGACATAATCAAACTCATATCCTGTAAAAAATGTGAGGGAAAAAAACATAAAATCAAACGGGCTGTCCATCAGAAAAAATTAATAGCAAATAGCAAAAATGACAAAGTGACAAGGACAAAAACAAATTAAGAAACAAACACGATTTTCAAATTCAGAATGCACATGAGAGAATTTTCAGTCACATGTAGATGAGGCACCAGAACCATCAATGTTCAGATGAAGAGATAGTTTACACGAAATTAAGAGGCCTAAGTGCTGATTCTGAACAGAATTTCTCTCGATCTCGAACTTAATTTCATAGAGGAAAAGTAAATTCCACCATCAATATCCAGACACTTTTTGTCCCATGGGTTACGTACCACTATAAATTCATTCGCAAATTTTACATATATTATCCAGTGTATAACAAAATTTTTTGTATAGTGTAATAAGATAAATTATAGATTCTTCTGTAGTCTAATTAGTTGTGTAAAAGAACTTGTAGCTCACATAAAGTGCTTCAAAGACAAAATAGTTTTCAAGTCAATACCAGTCATCAACTCTAACAGACGAAGTAAAAGCCACATCTCGTACTAAAAGACATCAATATATCTATTCTTACAACATTCGTATAGTATTAATACCTTCGCGAGTAAATAAATCACGGAACAAGCGCTTCAAAAAATCATAATCAGGTCGCTGATCAAAGGTTAAGGAGCGACAATAATGGAAGTATGATGCAAATTCCACAGGTTGTGACTTGCATAGGACCTATGAACAGTAAAGTGTTAGATAGAAATTATGATCAAATGATAAAAGCTACATAATAAGAATGAAGTATGAACAATATACTATTTGCAAACAACAATGGCTCTCCAAGATGCTTCTGAAAATCTCTCTAAATTTCTACATAGCCTTCCAATGAACTAGATTTCTTTTAAAAAAGAAGGAATATAAGGAATAGTTTCCAAAAACAAAAAGTGCACGCTGTTCTACAAGAAATTCCTCTGGTTAACCCTTCTGGTCATTCAAATTGATTCAGGTCGCTTTAATAGTCTAGACTCTAGTACTAACTTATTGTCAAGAGCTCGGAGAGAGTGAGAGAGAGGGACGAAAACGAGAGCGATCACTTTTGAAGAGTTCAAACAGCCAACCAATTGGAATCTACATACGAATTTCACACTCAAGCCATGTATGCAAAAGAAAAACATATATACCTCAATGGGTGTTGCTATTTTCTTCTCACGTATTTTGTCATATTTTTGCTTTTTTGTGGCAGCCTTTAGACCCTGCCAAGGAAGGCTAAATGCAGAAAACAAACAATCAGTCAGAAGCAATTTAGTGGGACCAAATTATCTAATCGAAAAAAGGACTGTCAAGGCCATTGATCTGCCAAAAGCACTCGACAAAAATTAATTCACCACCATAAGACTAACAAGAAAGAATTTAAAAGCTTGTAATAACAGCATTGAATGCAGAATAATACCTTCCTTTCAGAAAGTATAGAAGAACATAGCCAAGTGACTCCAAATCATCGCGACGACTTTGCTCTGGGAAGTAAAACAAAAGAAGTTGATAGTGTTATCCAGTATTTGGAACAAACTAAAAGAAAGAGGAAAACAAAAAACAAAAACAAAAAAAGAACAAAAAAAGAAAAGGTCTGCTTACCTATACCCAAATGAGTGTTGCAACTCGCGTAACGTGCAGTTCCAGTTAAATTTTTGTTCTCTCTGCATGAGTTTATAAAAGGAAAATTCAGACAAGCACAACCAGGACAGGTAGGAACTTAAAATTAACACAACTAATATTGATATAATACAAATAACACTGTCCCTATTGAAATTGAATAGAAATGTCACCAGCTTTTAATCATTACCCAGTGGTCAAATATTTACCTGTAAGGAATATGTCTGTTTGTCGTAGAATCCCTGAATCTTTTCGCAAGCCCAAAATCAATAATGTAAACCTACACAAATACTCAAGAAAAAGAAATATTACTATAGCAAAACAGAAAGACAGTGACCATATAGAAAACAAGAGTCTCTGCAAGTTAGGATGGAATTTAATAGTAAAAAATTATCAGCATTAGAAAGGAAAACGAACCCGAAAGAATACATTAACCCTGCAAGTTGAAGGTTCACAAAGATACACTCAAATGAACATTACCTGATTCGCTTTCCTGCCAAGACCCATGAGGAAGTTATCCGGTTTGATGTCTCGATGCAAGAACCCCTGGGAATGCAGGTACTGTATTCTTGCAATCTGCATTCAGTTAAAGAAACAATTATCACATCTATACACAACTTAGACCAAACTGAGTGAAGGGGAACTAAGGAGGGCTCACAACTCCAGGCCAGGCAAGGGCTTTATTCATAAAGCTTTTTTTGGCTCTTTAAGATTCAAAAAGCTACTTCTAGGAGTGTTTACATAATTTACATGAACAACTTTGGTCTTTTTGCACAAAAATAGAGCGAGAATGATTACACCCGTTTTAAATGGAAAAAAAAATAAATAAAAAATAAAAACCTCACTTTAAGTCTTATAGAAACTCTTGCAAAATTCAGTTTCTACACACGGATTCAAAAGCCATAATTTTCCTTTTAACTGCTCGTATTGCCTATAAGCATAAGCAAAATTCATTCTAAAGAAAACCTAAGAAGATTAGTCCTAATCACGAAACAATCCAATAGGGCATATTAAAAACTTATAAAAACGAAAACTTTAGAAAAGAATATAAATCTGTGAAGAAACCCAACAAACTGCTTTTTAAAAATAAAAAAATAAAAATCCAGTGTAGAGCAGCTCTCAAATAGCAAAATACATGGCAACAAAGACAGACTTGTACAATATATTCACAGAAACCCATCATCAAATATATTGACAATTACCATCTGATCAGCCAACATTAGAATAGTTTTCAGCGAAAACTTTCTCCCACAGTACACAAGCAGGTCTTCAAGGCTAGGTCCTAGAAGGTCAATGACAAGGACATTGTCGTCTGCATCTACTCCAGACCATCTAATGCTCGCGACACCGCCTAAAATGTTCACAAAATCAAAAAATCAATTGCTCACCACCATAAGATTCGAAGGAAAAGCTTGCTTAATGTAAGCATGTAGTTTCAAAACAAAAAACTATACTTACTTCCATGTTTGAGAATGTTATACACCTTGGCCTCATACAGAAGTTGTGGATGCTTTGTCTTGTTATTCTCCTACGTAGCTCAAAAACGAATCAAACAATCAATTCGCAATCTAAAAAACAAAGAAAAATTATCAATCAGGAAAATAATCAACAACTCACAATCTTGACGGCGACGATCTCGCGGGTGTCGACATGGGTTGCTGAGAAAACAAAAACCGAGGGAAAAATCAACATCGAAAAATCGATAATTGGAGCTAAGACGATAAATAAAATCAATCAAAATTCACGTACCTAGATATATTTCGCCAAAGGAACCGCTTCCGATCTTGCGACCCAGCTTGTACTTTCCTCCAACAATCCTCTCCATAAGAAATACCTAAACCCAAAACTAGGGTTTTGATGAGAAGTAAGTATTTGAGACACGAATTGAATTATGAACGATTTTGGAAGCCTTTTGGTCCAATTTTCGGGAGATTAAGAGCAAAATCGAGGACTAGAAAACGTGCGAAACAAAGAGAGAGATGTGAATCAAGAAGTAGAATTGGGAATGCTTACCTTAATCTGCACCAGCGATGAATCGATTGAGAAGTGAGACTTGAAATTGGGGGCGATTGGAGGAAGTTCTAGAAAGTTCGACTCCGGAACGTTTGACTCCTTTCTCTCTCTGTGCGGCTGTCTGGCCTCTTTAACGGCGCGTTTAGAATTCATTTTAAAATAAAAATAAAAATATTTTTAATTTTAGATAAAAATTATTTTTAAAAATACGTTTGATAATTTTATCAAGAGATTATTTTCAGTATAAAAAATTTATTAATGTCTCTTTTTCTCTCTCTGCTCGAGAGAAGAGAAAACGAAAACAAAAAATGAAAAACGACTAAAAGTCGGCCGTGTTTGAAATTGATCCCATTTTTATTTTTTACGTTTTTCAAGAAAAAAAATGAAAACGTTTCCAAAACGGCATTTGGCGCAATAAAGACAAAAAACAGAAATGAAAATGATTTTTTGATTTAGTGTAAAATGAGAGAAAAATGAAAACGACTTTTAGTTGTTTTTCATTTTTTGTTTTCGTTTTCTCCTCTCTCGAAGAAACATAGACATTAATGGGTTTTTTTATACTGAAAACAATCTCTTAATAAAATTATCAAACGTATTTTCAAAAATAATTTCTGTCTGAGATTGAAAACGTTTTCATTTTCATTTTCATACAAAAAATAAAATTATTTTAAAACGAGTTCCAAACGCGTCCGTCGTTTTTCATTTCTCTCTCATTTTACACTACGTTAAAAAATTATTCATTTCTTTTTTTGTCTTTATTGCACCAGACGCCGTTTTAGAAACGTTTTTATTTTTTTCTCAAAAAACGTGAAAAACAAAAACGAGATTAATTCTAAACACGGCCAATATTTTTTTAACCTTACATTGTTAAAAAAATATACCTTGACTTCGAAATCCATCACTTTTAGAGCTTGTTCATTTGCACTTAAACTAAAAAAAAAATTAAACTCAAGTTACAATTTTATTCAAGTTTATGTTCTTTTGTAAAATTTAAATTTTAACTTGAGTTTAAGGTTAAAATATGAGTTAAAGTTCATCATTCAATTCAAGTTCTTAAACTCAAACTTAAGTTAGTGAACAATATTTTTTATATTCTTAAAGACGTCATAATTTTTTCATTTTAATTCCAATTGAAATGATTTTTTTCTATACGTTCACAATGAAGAGACAAATAAAATCTCACCCATATACCCTATTAAAATTTTCCATCACCATTGAGTCTAAATACAAATTCAAGTTTTGACTCACCCAAATACAAACTCAAATACACTATAACTCAAAATATATTCTCAATTCAAACCATAACTCAAACTGTGCACGTTTAAACACAAACTCAAATTAGAGTCTCAACTCAAACCATACTTAAATATACCTTAACTCAAATCAATACTTGAACTCAATTCACCATAACTCAAAAAATACAAATAGACAGTTATTTAATTGCGTTTAATACACAAATTCATACATTTTAGTCGTCCAACACTTTAAAAATATTTTCAAAAAATGAAAAATAATAGTGAAATAAGAAATATTTACTATAATTTTTTATTTTTTATTTTTTGAAAAAAGGATTTTAGATTTCAGATGAGACAGAAATCCTCCAACTAAGAGAACTTTGTAAAGAGTTTGCTCAGCAATAAAAATATGAGTTTCTAAATCCCTATTTTTTCAAAATTTTTAGATTTTCTCTTTTAAAGTTATTTTGAGCATTATTCATGTCAAAATAGTGATTCAAACTGATTTAAAAACTCTTTTTGTCACTTTGTTAGCATGTGTTCTTTTCTATTTTTGAGTACAAACATTGTAAATATATTACAAGCAAGAAAAAAAAAATATACTTTAGTTACACATAATTGTCCTTAATTTTCCCTACTTATTAGAATAAAATGTCACAAAATTTTTCTTCTCCTACAGTAATCGCGCGGCTTTAGCACTCTATCAATATGTTAAGCGACATAACTTCCACAAACTTATGTCATTAGATAACATTTTTGTTTATTATTAAATCTCTAAGGAAACTTAAGGGAAGATTTATTCTTTTCTACTATCAATATGAACTGTTATTTTATTAATTTTTCAATTATCTGACCTAGGGAGGTTTAGAAAAGGATAATTCATGCCTTCCCAATTTATTTTGAATAAGATCAAAATAATGACTTTTGCTGATATTTGAACAATAGAGACCTTATTTGAATTAAATAAGGCACTGTTTGCTGAAAGCAGAGGAGGGCCACTGATGCACTCTCCATGTCAACCAGGCTAATATTAAATTTTCTATATATGAAGCCACGGTAAGCAGCATTGTCTAGGTAAATGCTAGCGCTTGTTCCCTTGTCAACTGTGTACACCTTTGGTGTTGTCGACAAACATGTCGTTGAGTCCAGGCATCCCTCAAGTTCTAGGTCCTAATTAATAAGTGGTATTAGCCCATCAATTATATGCATGCTAAATTTTAGAGGATTAATTATATTTGTTGCACCACGGTCGAGCAATCGACCACTCCTTTGATTGTCAAGTGCCGAGATGTTCTCAACCGAGAATTAGTCGTTGACGTCGAGAAAATGGTTATACGTGCAATGCCCTTAAGACGATGAGAGTTCTTGCAGGAAGAGGATATGGGTCGAGAACTCCACCTAAGCCGTGAAGTTCACGACGTCGAGAGAGAAGTCTGATCAAATTCAAATATAAGTTCGTAATTTCACTATAAATATAAGATTTGGCGATAGAATAAAAGTGAGAATTAACAGGGACTCAAAAGGCTGATTATATTTGTTTATGAAAGAACAAAAGTTGCAAAATTAATTTTCCCATTATAAACTTCTTTATATTGATTATATTGATTATGTGATGGACTTCTACAATCTGACGTGTATACGTATTTGGTGGTGAGAGTAGATTTTTTTAAAAAGTCTCTATTTCTTCGCAAGTGATCAGATAAAGTTAAGTGCTTCTTTCCCATTTAAATAGGAGGTCATCATTTTTTTTTTCACCTTGAAACAACTCCTTTCTTCTTTGTTTTTTTTTTTTTTTGGAATAAGTGAAGATTTATTAATTTAAAAGAAAAAGAAGAACTTATAATAAACCAAGGTCATAAAAGGCCAAAAAGAAAGAAGGAAAAGTAAAACCAAAGGCAAACTAAACAGGAAAAAAAATCATCTTAAGAGAAACACACAACTTAAAGATTTTCTTAATTTAAAGTCCTAAACACTTTCCCGTAAGTTTTTTTTTTTTTTTTTTTTTTTTTTTTTTTTTTTTTTTTTTTGGAAGTATCCTTAGTGATCAAAATAACTGGTCAGAAATAGAATGTTACTATATACCATATATCATAGAAATTAAAATCCCAATTGAGTTCATAATTGTATATTTTTCAAAAATATTAATAATAATAACAATAATTTACCTGCCAATTCCAAAGAGCAGTATGCGACCAGTACTGAGGAACGGCCACATCTCCAATATTGAGGGAAGGGTTTGCATTCCCAGCAATCCCATAGTGCACCACTCCTTCCATATCAAAAAAGCTCAGCAGAAGTTGTGTGGTTATACCTGCGTTCGTCTACACACACACACACACACATATGTATTTAACTAGCCAATATGATGAACCTAAAAGAGTCAGAAATGGAGCAAAGCTAGAGAAATAAAGAAAAATGATCAAAGCATATTAGAATATACATTGCGTACTACGTACCATGCTCAGTCCTGTGATGACTAATATTACTCGTTTGTCACCTTTAATTCCAAACCGAAATCTTCTTCTTTAATGAAAACCGATAAAATTACAGAAATCTCGTACATATTTATTATACGAGAAACACGAGAGACATATATCTTAATTAGGATCGTGTTTGGAATTGATCCCGTTTTTATTTTTCACATTTTTTGAAAAAAAAAAAAATAAAAACGTTTTCAAAACGACGTTTGGCGCAATAAAGACAAAAAAGGAAATGAAACCGATTTTTTTGGTTTAGTGTAAAATGAAAGAGAAATGAAAAATGACTTTTAATCATTTTTCATTTTTTATTTTCGTTTTCTCCTCTCTTGAACAGAGAGAAAGCGATAGAGACATTAATGAGTTTTTTATATTAAAAATAGTCTCTTGATAAAACTACCAAATGCATTTTCAAAAATGATTTATGTTTGACATTGAAAATGTTTTCATTTTCATTTTCATGTAAAAAATAAAATTATTTTAGAACGAGTTCCAAACGCGCCATAAGTTTCTCACTGCTTTTTTTTGTGGAAGAAGAATTTCATTGAAAAATGACACAACGGCCGATCAACAAAAAGAAAAGGCAACTACATTATGAGCAATAAAATTAAGATCCTTTTTAAATATTAACTAATTAGTACATATACAAGATAGTAGCTAGGGTTTTGGCATATATAATTACCGTGTTTTTGTGCATATATATATATATATATATACACACACACACACACACACTTACCAGAAATGTGCATCATTTGATCAGTAGGTTTGTAGTCTGGAGAATTAATGAAAGGGTTCATCTCAAATAGATTTGGAATGACTAAACCCAAATAAGGCCATTCTGGTTGGCTTTGTCAATCAGGTTTCGGGTCTCCTTTAACATTAATGGTACCGTGGCAGCACTAGTCTGTTGTGCATTAAGCGCAATAATCATAATAACCGCAAACAAAACTAAACAGTAATGATAATATGTAACTACTGATCTGTAAATAACTTTCATATCTTTAATTATGTCTCGGAAATATTATGACTAGCTAGTTTACTAAAAGATGTTCAGAACTAGGCTGGAATTTATAATCGATCAAATCAAGAACATGTCACGATCTTGTCTACTATATGGTAGGTAGAACAGTACTAGATTAATTAAGCGAATTGCCTTTTTTTTTTTTACACGTGAAATGTGTTTTTAACTAGCATGATTTATATTTAATCAAGATTTTGCCTATAGCATTAATGTCCATTAGTGTTCCTTTCGAAGACTAGAAAACACACAAGTAGTACATGTGACAACTTATATTAATTTCTTTAAAAATTTGAGGAAAAATATTAATGGCTACTTTTATCATTAAATTGACTACTTATTAGTAAAATGACTAATTCTCTATTGTAAAATT